AATATTCAGCCCAGCAAAGAAACTTGTGCCATGATTTAGGTTGCTCATGTGCAAAACATCGGAGATAGGCTTCAAGACAGCGGTTGACTACCTCTGTTTGACCATCAGTTTGGGGATGGTAGGCAGTACTCATTTTTAATTTGGTCTGGCTTAATCTGAATAATTCTTGCCAAAAAGAGCTCATGAAGATAGGGTCCCTATCAGATACTATTGAGTGAGGCACCCCATGTAACCTGACAATTTCCTCACAAAAAATGGTGGCCACTTTTTTAGCAGTATATGGATGCGCAAGAACAAGGAAATGGGCATACTTACTCAAACGATCAACTACTACCAAGATGACCTCAAAACCTCCTGACTTAGGGAGACTAGTGATAAAATCCAGTGAGATATCCTCCTAAATTTGAGAGGGTACAGGTAAGGGTTGCAAAAGTCCTGCTGGTGCCAAAGTTTGATACTTATTTTGCTGACAAGTGGCACAATGCCTCACATATGTCTTTACATCGGCCTTCATAGTAGGCCAATAAAAGTTCTCTGATAGTCGCTTGAATGTTTTAAGAAAACCACCGTGTCCCCCAACTGCAGTCGAGTGGGCTTCTGCTAGTAACTTCGGTCGTAGTTGGGATGAGTATGGAATGACTACTTTGTGGTCATAAAAGAGTTTTTGATCAACCAAGTGAAATTCAGGTCGAGACGACGGATCTTTCTGTATGTCCTGCATTATTTCCTTAGTGAAGGGATCTAATGCTAATTCAGAGGTGAGGTCATGAAGCTCTGTAGCGAAAGGGACTGCTAACTGAAAAAAATCTGCATGCTGGGGTCGTCGTGATAATGTATCAGCTCCCTTATTTTCTACTCCTGCCTTATGTATAATAGTAAAATTAAATGGTAAAAGCTTGATGATTAGCCTTTGTTAGGTGTTGGTGGTGACGCGTTGTTGTAGCAAATATTGCAGACTAGCATGATCTGTTCTGACAAAAAAATGCCTCCCGAGGAGGTAATGGCACCATTTTTGTACTGCAAGAACTAACGCTAGGAGTTCTCGATCATAAGTGGATTTGAAGCGATTAGAGAATGAAAATCCTTTACTGAAGTAAGCAATGGGATGGTTGTTTTGTAAGAGTATAGCTCCAATACCTTCTGTGGACGCATCACATTCAACTACAAATTCCTCCTCAAAGTTCGATAACTGTAAGACCGGTGCCGTCATCAATGCAAGTTTAAGGCAGTTAAAAGCCTGCTGAACTAGTTCAGACCACAAGAAGGCATCTTTCTTAGTCAACTCAGTGAGTGGTCGTGCAATAATCCCAAAATTCTTCACAAAACATCTATAATATCTTGCAAGGCCTAAGAGTCCACGTAACTCCTTTACATTCTTCGGGACAGGCCATTCTCGTATTGCCTCTACTTTCCCAGCCTCAACTTCAACCCCTTGGGCAGAAATGTTGTGTCCTAAAAAGGAAACTCTCGGCTGACAAATGAAGCTTTTTTTTAAATTTACACAGAATACATTTTCCTATAAAGTCTGGAATACGTGTGTAGATGCTCTTGGTGTTGTTGAAGAGATGAACTGTAGATCAAGATGTCATCAAAAAAGACAAGTACAAATTTTCGTAAATAAGGACGAAATAAATCATTCATGATTGCTTGAAAGGTGGCTGGTGCATTAGTTAAGCCGAAAGGCATGACTGTGAACTCATAGTGCCCGGAGTGAGTTCGAAACGCTGTTTTGTAAATATCATCAGGTGACATCCGAATTTGGTGGTATCCCAATCGTAGATCCAGTTTTGAGAAATAAGTTGCCCCGTGTAACTCATCTAATAACTCATCAATGTTGGGGATTGGGTACTTGTCTGGAATGGTGATACTATTCAATTTTCGGTAATCTACGCAGAAGCGCCATGACTCGTCTTTCTTTGCAACCAGTAAGACTGGGCTGGCAAATGGACTGGAACTGGGTCGAATAAATCCCTTTTGCAGTAATTCTTCGACTTGTTTCTCAATCTCAGTTTTTTGATAATGAGGATATCGATAGGGTCATAAATTGGGTGGGTTGGCTCCTGGTTGTAGGGTAATGGTATGGGAGTGATTTCGGAAGGGTGGCAAATTTATGGGTTCTTCAAAGACGGCAGGAAATGTGGCAAATAAAGGTTCTGGGTTGAAATATTGGGAAGGTTTAGGGTCAGCGGAAGCTTGCATTGAATTAAATTGAGCACCTTTAGCAGCATTAGGAACTCCTTGTAACTTATACCTCTTGCCATTCACCCAAAAATCATGAAGAGTTGATTCCAATTGACTTGCACTGTATTGAGAGATGCTAGCCACTTAATACCGAGAACTAGATCAGCACCCCCTAGAGTGAAGGGGAAAAAATCTTCTTTAATTGTTAACCCCGTCAATTCTACTTCAATATTTTTGCAAACTCGGTTGCATCGCACAATACTGCTATCGCCTATTTGGACCCCAAAAGTAGAAATAGCTTGGGTAGGTAGATAAAGCTCCTGAACCAATGCATCAGAAATAAAATTATGGGTGGATCCACTATCCACCAATAATAACACCTGTCTAGAGCCTAATCTGCCACTTAATTTCATTGCTGAGCCAGAATTATTTCCCAGGATGGCATTTAGTGAAATTTCGGCTCCCTCAGGTTCTGTTTCTTCAAGCGCGACATCATCAAGGGGAGGAAAAATCTCCTCTCCTTCCTCGGTGATCTCCATTAGAGAGAAGGAACCCCTACATCGATGCCCAGGCCGGAACTGCTCCCCACAACGAAAGCACAGTCCTTTATCTCTCCTTCTCTGATGTTCGATCTCGCCTGGAGGAAGCTTAAAAGGATGCGTATTTGCTGGAGTGAGGGAGGCCGAGGGTGACGCAGTATGCGTCGGGGTCCTGTACGCGTTCGGGCTCGTGTTCGCCGGTGAGAATCCAGTTGACCTCCTTGGTGGTTGATTCGAGTCACGTGCGGTGGCTGAGGACCCATAATAAGGTCGGGTCGGGTTTTGACCCGAATTCAATTTGGGTCCGTTCGAAGTCATCTTCCCTTCGAATTCCAGAGCAAGGCTGAGCGCACGATATACACTCCTGGGCTTGTGAATTCGAACGTCTGATCGGAGCTCCTCCTTTAGCCCACTGAGAAACACACCGAGAAGGCAGTGTTCAGGCCAGTTTTTTACTCTGGCGACGCGCCTTGCAAATTCCTGTCGATATTCTTGTACAGAGCCGTCTTGCTTGATTCTGCACAAATATTCGTCCGGGTTCTGGTATTCAGGTGGTCCGTAGTTCTCCTGCAGCGCCTTCACTAACTCATCCCAATATAGTAAGGTGCGTTCTGAATTTAACCAAGAGAACAAATCCAAAGCATCTCCTTCTAATGACATAGATGCTATATCCACCTTTGATTCTTCTGGGGTATGATGATACTGAAAATATTTTTCAGCTTTAAGAATCCATCCCCGAGGATCACCCCCGCTGAATTGGGAAAATTAATTTTGGGTTGAGGCGGACGTGACCCCCTCTTGTAATAATTGAATTCTTCTTCACTTTCCTCATCCCAGTTACGGCGTCTGTGTCGGCTTTCTGGAGTCCTTCTACTTCTTTGTGTTGCTGATGCTTCTAAGGCTTCTATCTTTTCTTGTAATATGTCGAGTTTCTCTAATTTGGAGGAGATAAGAGCCAGATCGTGTGCAAGCAAGTTAGGATTTTCTGAGGCGATGTTGGATGGGTTATCGATAGGGTTGGTCTCTTGACCAGCACGTGTAGTGACCATGGCTCTGATGCCAAATTGGTAGGTGCTCACGATAGTAAAATAGAATAAGAGAAATAAATCTATTAGGAGGATATGAAACAAGAATCTCGTTCTATACTCCTCTTAATAGCCACGCTTAGGAGAATCTCCAAAGGGTTTGAAAGACTGTTTCATTAATTCTAATATGCTAGCTTCTAAGTTGCTAGTCATATTTATAAAGCTAAATACAATAAAATATTAAATAAAATCTAGATAACTGGATAACTAGATAGATTCTCCTAAAATCCAAGATACTAAAAAATCTAAATATCTAAAATGCTGAATCAAATCTAAACAACTAAATAAAATCTAGGGAAATCTGAATAAAAACTAAATACAGGAAAATACCAAATAAAATACTAAATAAAAGACTGAATCAAATAATCTATCTTAATTATCTTAATTTATCCTATTTTATCTTTTGATGCTTCTTTCTTGAACAAGTCTTTATGAGCACGTTATCTGGAATCTTATCATACAGTTTCCACCTCTTTCAAAAGCTGTTCCTATTATGAATAAAACTTGATGAACTCACAAAGACATTGCATTGTCTTATCCACAATATTGAACATTTACACAGTAAAATAACCAATTAAGCTATAATTACAATGGAATGAGGCCAGTCCTAATTTATAAGCAACCTAAATGCTACTTCAAGTATTATATTGTATCCATTTACATTTGTAGCAGAACTAACCCTAACTTTATAAGCTGAAATGTGAAAAATTAATATCCTCCAGGCTGTCTCTTGCTTTACAAATTCATGATATTTAGAATGGAAGCTACAAGATCGAGGCTTCAACCCTAACTTATAGGTCACCTTTACTTAAACCTCTACATATTTAAATGTGGTATCTTCCAACATTATCAAATAGGAAATTTGGCCCAAATCCAAATCCAAATTCATAGGTATCCAAACACAGCCTTAGTGAATTTGCAAATTTACTAGCAGGACTTGATTACACGAAATCAACAGTTTGGGGGTCAGCTTCAAAATTTTCAAAATGAAGGAGGATTAATCATACTACAGGACACTAAGCCGTGAAAAATTTCTGTTTATTTATCAGCAAGTAATAGTGTGCACTGCTTAATACAAGCAGACCAGCAAAGCTTTAGGCCAGTGAACTACGCTAGTGATCCATTTGTACTCATAGGGGTAAATGACCATATTTCAAGAGAAGAATGGTGCAATAACAATTGACTCAAATGCAGATGTAATCAAGAGATCAGAAGTTCTTGCCTAAATAATGAACATTTGTGTGTGCAGAGGAAGCATGGTGAAGCAATATATGGTTTTCAAAAATAAATTACAGGATAAGACTTAAATATTATTTCAAGATTTATGCATCCACATCAGAACATTACAAACGTGACCTACTCTGAATGAAAGAATACATCACCAATTCAAGCTTCAACTGAAATCTTTTAGTCGTTTTTTGAGCATGTCCATTGATTTCTTTCTAGCACTCTGCTTTGCATTTTTAGCTGAAAGACTTCCAAAAATCCCATCTGGAGCATCCTTGAATTTGTCACAGATTGCAGCAACTGTCTTGTAATCCAACGCATAGTAATTTTCCTCTCTCATAGCAGGGTCCATGAAGTCCTCAGGCTGACTGCTTAGCAAAAGATTGATTAGTTGCCGTGCTTCTACCAAACAGCTCTTAAAACCACCTTCCTTGTAAATTTCACCCAATCCAGCGGCATGGAACCTCTCATCTGCAAAAGTCTCTAATGTCTGAAGGTCATTGTCGATACCGACAATGGCATTCACATTAAATCTCTTGACACTGTCACTAAGGAAAGCTGCCACAATAGAATTGGAAATATGCTCAAGTGCTCCAACCCCTACTGTATACACAGCATCCATTGGTAAAATTTGCTGTGCCATGGACATGACAGAGTCAAGGTAATATATCACTTCATTCATATAGTTATTTCCATGGTGCCTTACCTCTTCTGAAGTCCAATTAACATTTTCCGTAATAGCCATGAACTCATCCACATTTTTGTTCACTGAACTCAGTAGAGCAACATAAGCTGCATCTCTTGATGTCTTCAGTACCACTTTTGCAGATAAAGTAGCTTGATGCCTCTCAACTGACCGAATTGGGATACCACATAGTTGAGCAGCATGTTGAAGGAAAAAATCACAAGTCCTTTCAAGAACAGATATGTTTGCAGCAATCTGCATGGCTTGAGACACGTTACTACTATTTCTATTTATAGTATCAAGTAATATTTTGTTTAATACATCAATCAAGAACTTATCTAAATACTTCCTCACAATATCATAAAAGTTTATACGAACAACATGAGACAAGTAGTCAACAGATCCTTTGATAAAGGATCTCACAATGCGACAAGTATCTGGTACCATGGATGAGAATGGTGCAACATATGGAAATGCAGGCAAAATATCTGAAGTTTGAAGATTAAATGACAGAACATTATTCTCATAATCAGTATCCTTTTTTATCACCATCTGCTTGTACACGTCATTGCTAAGCACATCAACAATTTGCTGCCAACATTCTTCCAAAAGACGTGCATGATATTTGTCACAGTTGTTATCAAGTACCTCAAGAAGTGGACCTACATCATATCCATACTGTCTAAGAGAAGAAGCCAGAAGCGTGACATGGTCCTTCACAAGAAGAATATGGGTAGCAGAGTCCATACAAGAGAATTGCTCATCCAACAATGATGTAATTTTAGCTACAGCAATTTCCCACATTTTTTCAACCTGATCAGCTACCAAGAGGCCCTTAGCAGTCCTCAGGACCCTATCCTCCACTATAAAGTGCCCTGCAATTTGAGCGAAAAATGTTTGGTATGATTCAACAAAAGGCTGTGTTGAAGACACTTCCAAGTCTAATTTCAACTGTAACACTCTGTTTTCATAGTAATATTCATGAAACTTTTCTGAGATTCCCAGGCAATCATGAATATGACAAGCACGATAAAGAGGAGTGAGATCAAACATTAAAACAGAATCTTCATCAAATTCTTCAACATCCAATGTACATGCTAGCTTCCCAGCCCCAAAAATATTTTGCTCCTCAGCCTTTCTTTCCTGTTCTAGCATTTCCTCAACCCTCTGCCGAGCTGAAACAGCATGACCAATGGCTGTTTGTCCAATATTTTTGGCAGAACTTCTTATCTGGACCAGCCATTCATTAACTTGACTACATACTTTTGTCTCAATGTGCAATTTTATTACAGGAATTCTCTTCTCTATAGCCATTTTGAGTTTCTGGACAGGAATATTCTGCAAGTATTTTTTCTCTAATAAATCCAGAGTTTTAAAAGCAGGATAAAACTGGCCTTCAGAAATGTGATCGTTGCACTTTACACAGAGGTCCAACACCTGAATACAATGCTTTGACAGTTTTATAGCTTCAGTAATGTTCTTCTTGATCGCATAAGAATCAAGAAGTTCCTCAAGATTAACAAGAAGGGAACTTCCAACCTGCTGCAACTTACAATTACCACTTTGGAGCTCACTCTTGAGCCCTTCAGCATCAAGTAACACAACACGAAGTTCGTCAACTGCAAGGATGAACTCATCATAATGTGCCTTGCATATTTCCTCAATTTCAGTTTCTTTTTTCTTCATAACATAATTCAGCTGGTTAAGAAGCCCTTCAGGTCGCCCCATGTCAAAGGCATGCCTAACAAGAGGACCAACATCATCTCCATTCACGATCAAATTTGCTAAAACCATGTCATCTCCCGTATCTCCACTCTCTATAACAGTTCTCCTCTTTGATTTCATATCCATTCTTTTTGCATATATTCCTGTGATAGGGAAACTTAGAACTTTTTATCAACCAAATAATACTTCAAGCATTTCCAGAGATTAACTATTCTAAAACTAACAAAAATATTAAAAGCAACTCTTGTCTCAAAAAAAAAAAAAAGGTAATACTCACGAGAAAGAATCAAGATAAGAGGAGTTCTATAACATAAACAAGTGGAGGAGATGGGCAAGAATCAAGTGACAGATTATCCTTGAGCAGGCATATGGGTTAGAAGATAATTTATTAACCGGAAGAGGCTAACGCTGATCGGAGTGTTTTTTAACCAAACCCCACAAGAAAATGCAGAAGAAATTTGAAAACAGATCTTCAACAATGTTCCAAATTGGCAAAGAACACAGGTTTTGATCAGAATACAATAAACCAACCAAAAGTAAAAGCATTAAGCATACATTTGGAAATGCGGACTTAGAAAAGGGAACGAGAAAAAGAACGCAGAGCAATGTTCCTTCAAGCGCAGGAACAAGCAACTCGAATAACAAAACAAAGACATTGCCAGTGCCTACCTAGGACTGCTCAAGAAAACCAACTTGAAAAGACGATATCGTTGACCCTAAATTTCGCGATTCCAGTAAAGAAACAGTGAGGAACTGCATATGCGCTAAAACACAAAGGAGAATCGGTCACTTAGTGGGCATCTTTAAACTACAAAACACGAATCCCCAATAAAGCCGACCGAAACGGATGAAGACGTGACTTCGGTCCACCTTAGTCTTTCCGAATTCGAGGTGGAGGATTTTAGGGTCGTAAATTTCGAGGAGTTTAAGGGTATGTTTGGGATTTTATTTTATTTTTTTTAAATCGAAACTGAAACACTTACATCCTTCAAAAATTCAGATGGAGAATGATAAAAATAAATAAATAAATAAACAACGTAAGATCTTTCCAAATCATGGGCTCCCCCCCCCCTTTTGCGCACAAGTATCCTAGGCTTCATCCACCGAATTCAACTTAACATCCGTTCGAACTATCTCAAGGAGTGAGGTACCTCTTATTGAAAAATTATGCTGCTACATACTTTGAAACTTGAACGCAAGACCTCAAGTTAAGTTGACTCACCCCCTTTCAAGTGAGCCAAGTGCCCAGTGGTCTAAATCATAAGCTTTCTTAGAAAGAGAATGAGCATTGTTAAGAACATCCTTATATACAAAATTCACTGAAGCTAACCACTCCCTGTTGATCAAGTTACAAGCATTATGAATAATCTCTTAACATGGATAGTCATTATTTAGACTTTGGTGATGAGATTAATCGCTTAGGAACAATTCGTTTAAACCTGAATTCCTTAGCCAAGCAAAGCTCAAGGCCCTTGATTAGGGAGTTTATTTTAGATGGGGATTGTAATGAATTGGGTTGGATTCAAGTGTTTGGTAGTCTTTTCCAAGAGAATTATGGGATGGAAATCTAGATCAACCTGTCCGATAAAATTGATAAATCATCAAATTCGTGTCTTGATTGATTTAATAAAATGCTTTGTTTATAACTAATTTGATCACGATTCAACTACAATGTTAACCATTAAACTTTAAACAAATGCCTTGATTGGTTCGACAATCGATAGCCTTGAATGGAATGGGATAGGGTGAGATGATAGGAGTTCTATATTATTGTCTGGAAGAATTTTCTAAAAAGTAGTAGGATAACTTAAGATGGTCTTCCAAGTCATCCTTAAACATCCTAAATCCATTTTTCCTGACGCCTAATTTGGGATTTAGAATGAAATAACCTAATATAAATAACAATATCACAAAATTAACCTCATTCTTTCCCCTTTATCATTCTTTTGCTTCTTCTCACTCTAAAACTGGAAAAACATACTTATAATTAATTCAAATATATTAGTTTTATAATGGGAGAATTACTAGAAAAGACAGCCTTGGGAGGCAAATTGTGCCGAGGAACCATGACAAATTGAAAGACCAGGTGTATATGTGAATTGACCAAAATGTCACCATATCTATACCCTTGCACCCCTATCCTATACCCTGGCACCCCAAGCCTATAAGTTGGCACCCAAAGTGACATGAGTCTAGTAGGCTAATAGAGAACTTTGCATGACCTAACTAAGGTGGAGGAGCTAGACCACTCGAAGCATGACTCAAGGAGCGAAAGTGACTTATTTAAAGGAGCCTAAAAGGTTCAACACATTCAACAAAGTCCAAGTCCAATAATACAAGCCTATTGCGTCTAAGGATCTACTATCGAGTTGAGGAGGCCTAATGATGATAGCCCAAGCTATCATACAAGCATCCAAAGAGAGTTCTCTGATGATAATCCATGTATTATAAGCCCAACATAATGAAGAGCCCATGTACTTTGAAGAGGAGTCCAAAAACCAATCAAATAAGGGCCCAATTGAGGAGTATAAGGTGATTCAAACCCAAATCATGATGGATCACAAGATCAAGTTCCTTTTTGGTCCATTAGTAATGCAAAACACATTATAAAAAAGTCTAGTCTAATAAGGACTCAAGCCCATGCATGCTACCCATCAAAACAAAGAAGATTTTTAATTTATCATGTGATAAATGACGTGTTGGATGAGAAGCACGTTTTTTGACATATTTGGAGAATTAATGCATGATCTCCTATGTTGAAATTGAAGATTCCCTTGATTGATTAGGATTTTTCTTTCATATGATCTCCAAATTATTTTAAGATCTGATTTGTTTCCTTTTCTTTTGAATCAAGACTATTTAGTTTCCCATATGTTTTGATTAATTAGGAAGATTGAGTCTTACATTTAGTTTTATAATTTATTCTTGTCAATATTGCTTTTGATTATTTAGGAAATTTTGGTTATTGTAATCTCATAATTTAAGGAAACACAATTCTTAAAAATATATGGCTGAATATTTTAGTTATATTTTTGAAATTAGGGTGTTAATTAGGGTTTTTGAGTCTAGCCCTTGCCTATTTTTAGGTGTGCTTCTATCTATTGTAATGGAAGACCTATTGAGTAGTAAGAATTATTTTTATTATTAGTATTTATAATTCTTGTGACTCTTAATGTTTATGGTGGCATCCTATAGTAAATACAAACTTGCTTAAGAGCTTGATCAATCCTTGTAGTGTCTTTAGAGGTTAAGATTGCTAGAGAAAAATTCTCTAAAGGAAACTTTTCATTGATCTCTATCCCTTTCATTTATTTATTTTTCTTGTTTTATCCTTCTCTTTAATTTTGTTTTCTCCTCTTTTCTTCATCCATATTTTCATTCCTTTCCTTTATGTTTCTTATGTTTGTTTTGTGTTTCAAAATTAGCATGATTCTGCTTTCATATCCCATTTCACAAAGCCTATTATCTTGCACTTTAAGCTTATATCCTTATACCTCTAGCCTAAAGCCTTGCACCTAAAGCCTATTCTTTTGCACCCAAGCCTATAACCTTTCACCTAAGCCTACAAGCTTACATCCAAAGCCTATCACCTTTCACCTTACACTTCACATCTATAAGCTTGCATGTAATGCCTATCACTTTGCATCTTACACCTCAAATCTATAACCTTGCAAATCAAACCTATACATTTGCACCCAAAGCCTATAACCTTGCACCTTAAGCCCATTTGCTTGCATACTGAGGCTAATGACTTATACTTCAAGGTTAATATATCCATGTCAATTTTCATAATATATGCATCGCATTTCTTGAAATAATATGTAATAAAAAAAAATTTTTTCCTTTAGGTGATTACTTTTCAAGATATGTCAATAACTTATCATGGAAAAAGCTAACTTGAAACTCTTGTATCATGAATAAGTATGGAACATACAAATTTTGTTTTTCCACCTTGTGGATACTTTTCAAGACATGAAAAATCTTGTATCATGAAAAATAATAAAACAAGCTAGTGATGGTAGCCAGTAGGTAAACAAATTTCAAAAAATTTTCACAACACTTCATGTAAAACATATTATATTGATAAATACATTAAAATAAAATCATAGTTTGATAAATACAACCATGATTCAACAATAGTAGTAGAATAGCAAGTTAATGGACAATTTTAGTAACACATATATATGAACAAATTGATTTTGTAACCACAATTTAGCAAGCAGGGTATATGAATATCTTCCTATAAAATTGATAGCTTTCGATCTAATGTGTCTATCACGTTATTAGATTAGGGTGTAAGGTTATATAGGCTTAGGGTGCAAGGGTATATGCTTAAGGTGCAACGTGCAGGTAATAACATTTAGATGCAAGCTTATAAGCTCGGGTATAAGGTTATAGGCTCGACGTGCAAAGTGATAAGCTTTAGGTGCAAGCTTATAGGCTTTAGGTGTAGGAGTAAATGCTAACAGTGTAAGATTATAGGATTTAGGTGAAAGGGTATAGGCTCGGGGTGTAAGCTTATAGGCTTGAGGCGCAAGTTTATAGGCTTGAGGTGCAAGGTTATAGGTTTGGGGTGTAAGGATATAGGCTTTAGGTGCAAGGTTATAAGATTTAGGTGCAAGAGTTTAGGCTCGAGGTGAAAGGTTATAGGATTTGAGTGTAAGGGTGTAGGCTCAAGGTGCAAGGTTATATGATTAGGGTACAAGCATATAGGCTTGGAGTGAAAGCTTATAGGCTCGGGGAGCAAGCTTATAGGCTCAAGGTGTAAGGTTATAGGCCTGAGGTACAAGGTGCAAAGTGATAGACTTTGGGTGCAAGCTTATGGCTTAGAGTGCAAGGTTATAGGCTTTGGGTGCATAAGGATATAAGCTTACTATAATATTCTCAAACTTTAAACTTGAAATTTAAGTGTAAGAAGGGGGTAAATGGGTAAATTTGAGTGATTATTGAATTAATGATGTTTTTCGACCACTAATGAGATTATTGGACTTTTAGACCATCTTGGAAATGGGCTAGGATGGAGTTTGGGTCAATTGGGTCTAAGTGTAAGGCCCAAAATTGTAAAATCCTCCGGAGAAAGGGGTGAATTAGGCCAATTAAAAATTAAAACAATTTAAGTAGATATAATTATAAGGGAGGAATGAGATCACCAAATAGAGTTGGGTAAAGGGAAGAGAGCTTCGCATAGAGTATTTATCCTTGTTCAAGTCTAATCACTTAAGCCTACATCTAGTTACAAGATATACTTGAGATTTTTCACTATCTCCACTAAGATTAAGCTAGGCTCTTGTTTCCATAGTACAATGTAGACTCTTCCTTGAATCTGTACCTTACCCCTCATAAAAGTAATCTCAAATCTCTTTAAGCTCCCTAAGCTTAAGTTTCTCTAAGAGTGAATAGATTAAGTTTAATAATGAACTACTACTATTGAAAACTCTCTCTAAGAGTATATATACAATTAATGAAGCTCTAAGAATAATAAATATAATATTAAAAGGTTGTTAGAGAATAAATGCATGTAGTTAGCTCAATAACTTCCTACTTTTTCACTTCATAAATGAGTTTTATTTACAGTTGATTCTTGAAATAGATTTTTAGACTCATGTGTTTGTCGTTAACTACTCTGTCTTTGTTTCCTTTAAGTTTTTCATTGTTTGAGGTGATAAAACAGTGCTTTATAGTAGGTTTGCATGTTGATAGTACCTTAAAGAAAGTAACAACTCTATACATTAAATGCTCTAACAAAAGATAAAAGAGAGGTCATGCCAGTAGAGTAAAGACATACGGGTAGAAGGAATTAATCAAAGATTAAATAAGAATACATTTCAACCAAGACAATAAGAGTATTCGAGGATGATAAAGAAGTGAATCACAAGACTTTAAAGATAAAAAGATTAATGTTAAAGGGTGCCACAAGATGCTATGTTCAAGACATAAAAAACAAAGTAAAAAATCTTTAAAGATATATTGGTATAAGTGAGGATATATTAGGAGAGGTAT